TGTTCATGCTGAGTGATTTTCTTCTAGGGTTGGAGTGGGTCAACAGGAGGTCTGGTGATATCTAGGTGACTGACAAGTTCCAGGGTCCCTGGCTTTCCTCTGACACTGGAAGGTTCTCCAAGCTTCCTGCCCTTGATTTCAGGTGAGGCTTTCACCACTGTGTCATGACGGCTCAGCTGCCTGGGAGGAAGTTTACGTGAGGAGGGGATGTGACATCAATATAGACAAAAGCAGGTCCGCACTTAGGTTGAGAGAGGGAGATCAGGCATGGATGCATCCAGAAAGGGATGCGCTACAGGTGAGGACTCCTGTGTTTCTCAAGGAAGAGATGGAGCATCACTGTTTCTCCTTTCATATCCTTAGTCCAGCTGGTTTGAATTCTTTGCTTCCACCACTGGACAATAATAAAAGCAGCCAATGACAATGAGTTGCATTCCAAATCTCTGGAATCCTTTGGCTAGTGTATGGTCTTCACAACTGCAGATGCACAGTGACATCTTTAAAAACACTATTAAACAAATGCTATTTAAATTTCTTTGACAGTTGGAATACATTTACCTCGGAAAACTAATATCTGAAGTTAATAAATAGAAAAATTTTTTTGCAGTACTAAAAATGCTGTTTCCAAAAAATTTATCATTAGGACAGATCCAAAAAGAGAAATGAAGGCTTGAAGGCTGTTAGACTTATACCCATGTAACATTTGAACATTTTTCCAAAATGAAAATAAAAATGGCAGTAAAGAATGTAGAACAGCAAGATATAAACCAACTGTAACTGAAAAAAAAAAAAGAGCTTGCTATTTAAGGAAGCAAAAAAAGCACACATTTATTCAAGGTACTTGGTAAGAATTCACTCATTTTTTATCTGACATACAAGCTAAGAACAAAGGTGAAAATGGATTACCCAGGAATAGGGACATATCGGAGTTTCTTTGATTGGAGATCAGTGACTTCTATATAGCCAGCTGTTTGTGGAGGGGTAACATCTGCAAACAAGTCAAGACAAGAGCTGAGTGTTAAATTACTGCATGATACAAAAACAGGACACAAAGAAAGCATGAATGCTGCTAAAAGTGGAATGAAATTATCAGTAGCCTAGAGCAGAACCCTGAGACCCACGTGACAAGGCCCTGGGCCGGCCAAGTCCAGCTTCAAGGCTAGACTCTCAGAGTTATGCTTTTGTTAGGGGAAATACAGAGACTGTCAAATGGATGCCTGCTTGTCTGTGATTCTTCGCTGTCCGAAAATTACCCCAGTTCTTTTCGCTTTCTTTGATGGAGTCCCAGGATGGGTCAACGGTTTAGCACTTATCGTTTATCTGAAAACAGTTCATCATTTGAATTCTGTTTTTCCATCTGAGGAAGTCACAATGATGATGGTATAACATCATGGAATCAGCACCCACTTTGAAATCAGACTGGCCTGGTAGAAAATCCTGGCTCTGACATTCCCTAATTGAGTTTTATGCTGGTCAAGTTAGTTATCTCTTGAGACCTGCCTTCATCATTTGTGAAATGGGGATAACTCAGACACTCAGCATCTGAGTATCATCAACATTATTCACCTCCAATCAGCAGTTGCTCAATCCACAGTGACTGTGACTATCAGCCCTGCAGACAGGAGAAGGTGAGGTGAGAATCAGGCAGTGGGGTGAGGACTGTGGGTCTTGAAGAATATGAAAAGGTGGGGAAGGGGAGGGTGATGACGTATGTGGGCCAGAGTCCCCAGCCCCAATTCTAGAGTCGTCTCCCAGCAAATACCAGGGGTCTACTAACTTTTTTCCCAAAGCCCTGAGTGCCACCACCCTCCTCATCCTCACCAGCTGCCACCACTGCATCAGGACCTCTGCTTTAGTTTATAGATAGTGTTTGTAACACTGACAGCAACAAGGACCTAGGATTCCTATTTGAGAGGTGAGGACGCTGAGACTCACAGAAGTCAGAGAATGATGGGACTTACTGAGAAAGTCACAGAGATGGCTTTCAACACCAGGCCTTTCTCTCTTCTGGCTTTGAAATCTCTGCTCTGCCCAAAAATCTACGTGGCCCCTACCTGAGCTGACCGTAGGGCAACAATTTTAAAAACAGCCTTATTTTTACAAAATCTTGGTCACTACTGTCTCTTTAAAAAAAAATCACCCCTACAAAGAACTCATACGCTTAAAGATTTTTGTCTGTTGTCTCTTGTTATCATTTCTTTTTTTTAATTAAAAAACTTCTTTATTGAAGTACAGGCAGTTACAATGTGTCAGTTTCTGGTGCACAGCACAATGTCCCACTCTGATTAGGATGAGATGTTCAGAATGCTCACACTGAATATACCCAATGCAGTTTACAAAAAATGAGAAAATCAGCATTTCATTTTGTGTTTGCAGCTGAAGGCTTCTGAGTAGGCTGTCTGACTACCTGACTCTAACTCTTACTTATTCGACAAATGTGGTTGAGCTTACTTTGCACCAGACACAATACGAAGCACTGGGGACTGAGACGAAAGAGATGTGTGTGGTTCCTGCCCACAGTGTACAGAGGAAGGTTCCCCTCAACTCTTTTTTAAATCGTTGTGAGCCGTTATGGTCTTGGAAAGGATTCCAGGGTGGGAATCAGAGCCCTGGGGCCAGATATGAGCTGCAGAGCTAGGCAAGGCGTAGTCTCAGAGGCAAAGTGATCAGATCAGGAGGAAGGGAAGGTAACACCAGGGCCAGCAGAGGGTAAGGAAAGAGAGTCACTATGGTCATCTGACCACCCAGCCAAATCAGCTGCCCCCAGACGGCCATTCGTATAAAGCCAACATGCTTATCATAAGTCACGCACCCCCTGCACTGGAAATGCCGCCTAGGATGGACGGTCGGTCTTGGACAATGTTTTGTACCATGTATCATTTTGACAGTTCCTGCTGCTAGGACTTAACTAAGCAGTGGGTTGAATTATTTATAGACCCCGGGTTCTTTGCCAAAAATGATCGGTTACTGAAGCAGCTGGGATGACTAGACTGCCTAGCTAACCAAGTTTCATTCGGTTTGCCATTTACATGCACTCTCTTTTTCGTAAGTTGTAGTATTAAGCTGAGCTACTGCCATCAGTGCTTTTAGACTGCCTGGGAGAGCCAAGTAAGCCAACTTATTTTGAAGTAGCTTTTTTCGACAGCTTTCTTTTCTTTCACTGTGCAAATTAATTCCACGGCAATAAAGAGGATGAGAAAATGCAATAATGGCCGTGTCTATTTCAGGAGAAAGCAAGAATTTTACTCCTCATGTTAAAAAATGTTTTCACGTATCAGAAAAGGCAATTTGTGGCTACAAAACACTTTATAAGAGTGGTGGTAATGGTAAGGGCTTGAAAAATAATCAGAATTGATGTTTACTGATTTGAAGATGAAGTCAGCTCAGAATACATGATTGAATTAAGGAAATGAAAACCGTGGCCAGATTTCCCTTCAAACTTAGCCAAATCCTTGTCTATCCATTTTAAATGTTTCAACGCTGTAGAGAGGATGGAAGCTTAGGAAATTTCCATTACATTTATAATCCAGGTGGATTTCGAAGATAAGTATAAACTATATTTAGGGATTAGTTCTCTAACGATTAAAGAGAAGTCATTGCCACAGTGTTTAGCACACAGTTCCTGTGAAGAGTGGGGACAGCTTGGATGCACGGTGCCAAAGTTAGGAGGAGGTATAAAAACTGTCAGGCAAAATAACTACGAGCAATTTCAGAGGGAAGGGGAAGTTATACATAAAAAAATTCACTCCTTCAAGCAATGTAATTTGATGTACATCTGCTAACTACTAAGGCTTCACGCACTCCTGCATTCACAGATTAAAAGAGCGATGTGTGCCCTGCAATCATGCTGATACTAAATCTTTGAATTTACTCACAGTTCAAAAAATAGTGTACAGCTTTCAAGCAAGAGTCATTATTTTGTGATTAAAGAGCTGAGGCCTGTGATTAAAAAAAAAAAAGCTAACATTTAACTAGAAGAAAAATGATTGGAAGGAAAATGCAAATCTCTCCCCACCTGCATTAACCACAAGTTATACCATCTTGGTAAAAGCCACCAGGAGGGCAGCCTTTACAGCCTCTGCAGATTTCTTTAATAAAAGGTTCCCACCAATCAGATGGTTGGATTCTATTTACTGCAAAAAATTAACTTAGTTTGAATTTTCATCAGAGATCTACATGCACACAGATTCAAGAGTCAAACAGGCTGAAAGAAAAAACTGTGCTGACTTCACTCCTCTCAGCCCTCATTTCCTGCTCCCAGAGACACTTTCAACTTTTCAAAGCTGTTTCTTTGTTATTCACCTTCATCTTTATGGTGCTGTCTTGATGTTTTCGCTTTCGGCATTATTTATTGACTTCCCACCACGTCAGATGAGAGTTAACTCTTTTTCATACACCCTCCCTCCTGCTCAACACCTCATTTTCCCATCCCCTAATAAATTTATATGATAATTTTTGGTTAGATCAACATCCAGTACTTATATTGATATGATTATACAAAAGCTATTCACAGCTGAGCTATGTCTTATAATAATATTATTGCTTTTTCTTTTCATGGAGTGAATAATCACGTCTTGTTGTTGGTTTCATTTTTCATGTACTGAGCACAAATTCAGCCTCCACATATTTCCTACTGTTGACATTTCTAAATATGTTCAAATATATTGGTTTTATCCATTTGACTTTCTTGAAGGCACTGCTCCTGGAATCTTTTCACTGTTTGTAACATCAACTGGTCGACCTCTAGGTCTGTGCACAGCTAGCATCCTGAGATCTCCCTTCACCATTCTCTTAGGTATTTTTTTTTTTATACAGCCCACTTAAAAAAAAATCTTCCTATGTGTCAGACACTATCAGGCACTTTATATACATTCAGAATCTTTAAGGAACACACTTAAACAAATGCAGGGACATAAAACTCCCAGCAACCAAGAGAAAAATGGCAAAAGGTATAAACAGGCAATTTTCGAAAGAATCAATCACAGCACATAAAAAGATGCTCAAACTTACTAGAAATCAGGAAAACGCTCAATGAAAGGTCTGACCCCTACGAGAGAAGATGAGGATGGAGAGCATCCTTAGCTTTTCTGCAGCTGGAACAACTTCAGGAACAACTTGGTAATTTCACTCTCAGATACATACCCTACAGACTCTTCACATATGTGCAAGGAGACAGGTACAAGAATACTTGTAACAGCAAAAAAAAAAGAAAAAAACCTAGGAAGAACCTAAAGGTGTATCAACAAAGAACAGATGAATAAACTGTCTTGTGTACAGCAGAGAAAATAAATGAGGTAGAGCTGTCAGTGTGCATATTGCCGGAGATTCTCTCCCTGACCAATGAAGGGGAGCAGGTTTCGCCACCACAAACAGGCCACTCTCCCAAATGAGGATTATTTTGAGCTATTTTTGGGGGCAATAAAAAAAGTCCAGCAGGTTCAGGAAAAGCTCTTTACCTCCCCCTCAATGGCCTAAAGGTACACGGGAAAGAAGAACTATACCAGGGAGAGAGCTGTTTCCAGAAATACCTTTTTAACTAAGAAACTTAGTCACATAAAAGGGCACCTTCATTCTCTAAACATCTCCTCTGCCTTCCTGTGAATGGCATTCCTCCCCTTTGTACCCCCAGACCCCAGGCCTTTCCACAGCTCAGGAGGTTACATAAGCTCCAATTACCAAGCTGCCTTTTGAGTCTTCATATCTTTATGGAATTTCCATTCACATGTAATTTCTTCCCCTGTTAATCTGTCTTATATCAATTTAATTATTAGATCAACCAAAAAACCTAGAAGGGAAGAAGGGAACAATTTTCTACTCCTACCCCTAACTCTAGTCAGGTTCTTCTGAACCCTCCTTCCAATGAGGCCCTGACTTTGGGCTTCCATGTTCATCTCTGCATTGTCCAGTTTTAGCAAGAATAATGCTCAGTTAGCTTAACCAGAATGCCCCAGCCTCAATACCTGATGGGGTTCCTGATCCTCTACCATCTCCCAGGTAATAGCTGATCACCCTGGCCTTCCTTCAGCAAGAATCCTGTTAGGATGATTTAGTCAGAATCCTCCCTTACCCCTGATTTCCTCTTAGTAATTTTCCATCCACTGATCCTCACCAAAAAAACTGGAGGACCTATACCATCTGACTTTAAGACAAACTCTGAAGTAGCAATCAAGAGAGTGTCATATTAGTGAAGGGATAGACACATAGATCAATGGGACACGACAGAAAATCCAAGAACAGGTCAGTTGATTTTCCACAGAGGTCCAAAGCAATTTAATGGAAAAAGGACAGTCTTTTCAGCAAATGGCGCTGGAACAATGGACAATCCCCATGCAAAACACTGAGTCTCAATCCACACCTTGAATCATGTAAAAAAAAATTAACTCAAAGTAGGGTATAAATCTAAATGTAAAATCTAGAAATATGACATTTCTAGAAGAAAACATAGGACATTTGGCCCTTCACCAAAATGGGAAAAATGTTTGGAAAGCATGTATCTGATACTGGACTTGTATATGGAACGTATAAAGAACACTCAAAAGTCATTAAAAAGAAAGCAAACAACCCAATTCAAAAAGTGGGCAGAAGACCTGAGGACACATGTCACTAACGAAGACATACACAAAAAGATGTTCCCAGCATTAGCACTAGGGAAATGCAAGTTAAAGTCATAACGAGATATCACTACCAACCTATTAGAATGGTGAAAAACTGACAATACCAAGTACTGGAAAGATGGCAGAGCAACTGGAACTTTCACCCACTGCTGACAGGAATGCAAAATGGGATTGCCACTTTGGAAAACAGCTGGGCTGTCTTATCACATGATGTAAAAATGTCATTTCTAGGAGTTTACCCAAGTGAAGCAACAACTTAAGTTCACTTAAAAATCTGTGCACAAATGTTCACAGAAGTCTTAATAATTATTGCCTCAAACTGGAAACTACCCAAATATCTATCACCTTGTGAATGGATAAACCAACTGTGGTATAGCCACACAATAAACTACTACGTAGCAATAAAAAAGGAACAAACAACTGGTACACACAACATAAGATTCTCAAATATATTATGTTAAGTGAAAGAAGCCAGACTCAAAAGACCACATACTGTTTGATTCTACTCATGTGAAGTTCTGGTAAAGGTAAATCCATAAGGACAGAAACCAGATCAGTGGGGGTTTGGAAGTAGGCAGAAGGCTTGATGGCACAGCGGCATGGGGGAGGCTTTTATGGGGAGATGGACCTGTTCTCTATCAGTTATAGTGATGTTTACACGACTGTATTTATTTGTCAAACTCACACCACTATACAAACAAGGTGAATTTTACTGGATGTAAGCTGGACTTTAATAAGAACAAATGAGAACAATAAAATACTTGAAAAACATCACTCAGTCTGATGTGTGGGGAAAGACTGGAAGGTGGAAGTCTGTCAGGAGGCTACTGCAATATTCTAGTTAAAGATGGTGGTGATTTGGATGCTGGCAACAAAACTGTAGACAAGTGGGTGGATACAGGGTATCATAGTAAGGATGCATCAAAAGGACTTGGTGATTGATGATGGGTTAGATGCAGAGGAGGAGGGAGAAGAAATATGGGGAATGACCCCCAGGTCATTCTGGGTGGATGACAGCATACTGAATTCTGGTATAGAATTTCTTGTAATTCCTGGAGTGCTCTGTCAGGTCTCTGTATCTTTCACCCGGGGTCCTCTCTTCCTGGAACAATTCCTTCACTCCCGCTCACCCTTCAAGAGTCAGCTCATAATCACCAGTCTGGGTTGTAAGCTTCTTTGTGTTAACATATCACCGTGTGAACACCCGTATCACAGCTCTGTACTGTAACTGTCAGTGCACACACCCGATTCTTCCACCATAGAACATATCTTAAGGAAATGGTGATTTATTTGAAAGGAACTAACTCTAACATTATCATATAACCAGGACTTTTAAAACCCAGTAATTGATTATTATAATACATTTAGTATTATATTTATGAAGTCTATACTAATATAATGAATATAAACACAGGACAATATATTACTACCACTATGAGGCAAATAATAATCAGTGGCTTAATGATGCAAAATTTTCATAATTATCCTTTATAATGAAAGCCAGTGTGGTTCAGTAAGAATAGCTATAGCCTTGGATTGAAAGACTTTGGTGCAAATCTGGGCTCTCCTGGCCACCGGTGGGGTGACCCCTGCCCCAGCAAGTTATTTTACCTCTCTGCGACAGTTTCCCTGCATATAAATTAGAGACTGCAATGCAACCAAAGATGAGTTCTAACAGCAACTGCTACAATCACATACTTGTGAGAAGTTTAGTGAAAACTTTCTGAGCACAATAGGTCTTTTAGCTACTACAGTCTGTTAGAATTATTCATATTTATAAATACAGCATAATAATGATAAGTTAAATATCCCTACCATAGGCAAACTATCTCTGACTACCTTGATAAACTAGGAATTGGTAAGTTTCTTACCTTTTGGGTAGATATCTTTTAGAGGGACTTCTCCT